AAAAAAAAAAAAATTGCAGTGTTATAGTACCATAGGAATATCATGGAGTACTGGAAAGCTAAGAAAGATGAAAACCCATCAACCAGATTTTATTCCTTACTTTTCTTTTCCAGAACAAGAGATTGAAATGCATCAGGATAACTATCCAAATGGAGTACACTGGCCACCTTTGAGAAGACTCTTTAGCCTTAGGTAGCTACCCCAACTTTGCAAACAGTCGAGACCAATTAATAAGATACAAATAAATAATGTTTCTACAGATAAACTGGTACAGATTCTTGTTTTCCTGTAATGTTTCTTATCTCTGTCTCATTCAGAGAAAGCAAAATAAACAGCATCTTTAAATTTCTCTGACTATTTTGCCCACAGAGACTTAAAATTTACTGTTATGTTAGTTCTACTGTTTTCACTATTTTCCTTCTTTGGTCTGCCTGTGATGATAAAGTCTTCTGTGACATGAGCTTGAGGGCTTCATTAGCTGTAAAAAAGAGCAATCCAAAACACCTTAAATATTGGATGCACTTTTTTTTACTTTTCTAAAAATCAGAACTGTCCAAGAACTCTTCCTATTGTTGCTCAAACTCTACGAAAAATAAATTTTAGAAGTCAGAAGTTGTTAACTCTATCTCCTTTCATACATGTAATTATGTCAAAATAGGATCTTGAGCAACATTTATAATAAAAGCAAATATTTCAAGTATTCTATTTGTAGGCTTTTTCCTGGATTTACTGAAACTTTGATCACTTTTCACCCCACACCACTAATAAGCTGAAATTCTGGCCCAGTTTTGAACACCCATGAAGTGGTTAGCTTCTTTCTTTGTGTATAAAGCTGCTTTATCTGAAATGCTCACGTCTACAACAATTCGTGGGTGTGTGATTAGTAGGCTCAATAGAACACTGGCAATAATGGATTATGTACAGCAGTTGGTATGAAAGCTGAAATAAGCCCTTTTTGAAATGAGGATCCTGCCCTTCACAGAATCCTGAAGCCAGAGAGGCAGAGGAAGCCGGAGCCTCACGCAGCCCCAGCCCAGTGTCACCCAGAGCCAGCGCCCCCTCCTTGCCCCATGGGGACCCACCCCCAGGCGGCAGGGCAGGGGGAGGGCAGGGGCCCCTCAGGATCCTCCCCAACCCCCTGATGCCCCGCCAGATGCCCGGTGCCCTCGGGACACCCTGTGCATCACCTCAGGAGATGGCGTGACCTCAGGAGACCCCAAAGCACTCAGAAAACACTCTCCTCTCTCTAAACAGGCTGTGAGAGGCTGACCCCAGGAGAGCAGGGCCCAGCCAGGCCCCGAGCAGTGCCTGCTTTGGAAAGGCCAAAGGCCCAGGCTGTATGGCACAGCATGACGATACGCGGCACGGAGCAGCCCTTCGGTCAGTTTGGGCTGGCTGTCCCTGCTGTGCCCCTTCCCCACCCGTTGCCCACCCGCAGAGCCTTCTTGCCCGGGGACACACAGCAAGCAGCAGAGGAAGCCTCGGCGCTCTGCAAGCAGCGTTCAGCGCCAGCAAAAACTGTGTTCTCAACAGCATCCAGCCATGGCAACCACGGCCCCAGCGGGCAGTGGGGTTTCCTCCTGATGTCACAGCCGTGACCTCACCCCCTGCAGGGCCATGCCCCGGCAGAGTCCAGGCTAGCAGCCCCGTCCTGCGGTGCTGTGGGCCACCTCCCGCCTGGAAGGAGCTCGCGGTGTGCTGGTGCTGTGTGCCCGTGGCAGGCCGTCTCCTCCCAGCCGCCGCTCCGGGGTTCGCCCAAGGAGCCTCCCGTGGGCAGGCAATGCCCCGGCAGCAGCAGGAGGACACAGAGGCTTGCAGGGGAGCCTCATCTGTCCCCAAGATGAGGAGGAGGAGGTCTCCTTCAAGAAAACCTTCTCAATCTAGGAGGAGAAGCAGAAGCAGATCTGTGAAGAGGTGCCGAGCTAGGCGCACTCAGGTGCCCAAGAACAGGTACAGGGGTTTGTTCCTCCTGGCTCAGAGCCCGGCTGGCGGGTGGGAACCACCGAGCTTAAAGGGGGGCTGGGGGGACACGATGGAGAAGCTGGTGAGCGCTGTGGGCAGCACAACAGTCCCAGGCCTTGGGAAACCCGTCGTGAGTGGGGAAGAGGCTCTGAGATTCCTGTCCAGGCGCAGATCGGTGCTATGGGGGCCGGGGTGGGGCCACCCTGCTCGGCTGCTGCTTCTGATGCCTTGAGCAACAAGGAGAAAAAAACCACCCGTTGCCCCTTTGATAGGGTTGGTCCGCCTTTGCTTAACGTGTCAAACTTTAACCCACACTGTGCATGCCCCAGAGGGAGTTCAGCCAGAGAACACCCCTGAAGACCACCAAAGACCCCCACGAAAGACCCTAAGAGACTTAAAGCGCATGTATAATTAGGATGCAAATATTACCATGAGTTCCAGAAAAAATAATGAATATGTATAACTATTCCAGAAAATCTAGTGCATGTGTAACTTGTTGCGCAAGATTGTGATTTGTGACGTGCCGTCACTTGCCACATGCACGTTGGGCGGAGTGACGCCACATGCATCGGGCACTGTGATAACGAAGGCCTGCCTTCGAAAACTTCAAGTCTTAGAGGGTTCTTTTGTGACCCAGTTGATGGTGATGCTTCTGCCCTGTCCCGCCACCCTGGGGATGTCCCCTGGGAGGCTTCCCAAAGCCTGTCTTCTGGCCAGGCCCTCGGCTCTCATGGCACGGAGGCAGTGTAAAACAGCGCTCCGTCTTTTTCCTTCCACAGATGCAGTCCCCCTCAAGAGGACCAGGGGACCCAGTGGAAGGAGCTCGCAAGCGACAGCTGCGGCGCTGGAGAAAATAGGCGTAAGTTCAGCGCTGTCTGTCGCCCCATTTTTCCGCCCAGCCTGCCTGGCTCAGCTGAGACTGATGGCCCTGCAGAAGCAGTGTCCTCCTGTCCCAAGGGAGGCCCGGGGCCACCTTGCCTCTGTGGCCGTGGCAGAGCTGGCTGCCATGTCCACATCTCCGTGGGATACTGTAGTGACCACGGGGTACCCTAGCTCGGTAGAGGCCTAGAGGGCCTCACCCACCTTCCCTCCCTAGCCACACGGTCAGTGCCCTGCCTTGAGGGCATCCTGCCCAGCCCCCTGTCCCCTGCTCCCAGGGGGCGACCAGCTGCCCCCCTCTCCAGGGCACAACCCTGGGCCTGCCCGTGCCCCACGGGGAGGGAGTGTGTAGGACCGGCGCCCACCTCCTTGCAGGGGTCTGGCACGTGCCCTGATGGGCCTCCTCAAGAAGGGTCCTCAGGCTTTCTCTGGTTTCTTTGCACAGGGTGGGTCTTTGGCATTGCTTACAGGCTGTCAATGGCCATGATCTCTCTCCAGAGATGCTTCCTCGCCTGCTTCTCCACCTTGTGAGTACAACACGGGTCCTGTGTGGACATGGAGACATGGAGTGCCAGTGGGTCAGGGCAAACAGGGGGAGGGAGGCTGGAGGTTCTCCCCACAAGAAGACCCCCTGGCTCCCCTGTAAATTGCTGTTCCTCAGCTTTTAAGAGAAAGGCCTCCTGGGCAGGGATCTGCCTTTGAGCACTGCTAACACCAGGACTTACTCTTCTTCAGGAAAGAGATCCTCACCCTGAGGAAGAAGAGGTTGTTCACGGTCCTCCTCTTAGTGAGCCTAGCTGTTGCTGGTGAGTATTTGTGTGCTGTCAGCAGAGTCACAGAGGCACTGGGTGTGAGCTTCAGCGTGAGGGAGGTGCTGGAGCACCTGTGGGGCCCTTCCAGCCTCCCACGCTTGTGGGTCTGGGAGGTCATGAGACTCTCGCCGTGTGCAGGGGAAACGGGGCCTAGCTGTGGGGTACCAAGCGTGCGCACAACCAGCACTGTGCAGAGCCCCGAGGCCCAAGGAAAGAGTCCCTGCTTGGAGCCTCAACCATGCTGCACCCCTTTGCCATGTCCTCTGCCAGCCTCTTGCCATCATGGTGTGGGAGGAGACTGCGTGACCATGGGCATCGTTAGAAATCCTACTAAAATAATTCTCCCTCGGTAATGTGAATTACAGCTGATGCCTACGGGAGGGCCTTGATGGGGATCTTGATGGACAGGACAGAGGATATGCCAGAGGTCAGTGGGAAAGTCCTGCGAGGAAGCACTGCTGGGGGGGGTGGGGTGGG